TACAGTATTTTTACAGTCTTTCTTTTACAGTGAAAATATATGTTTATTAAATAAAGTCTAATATTACAACTAATCCCTTTAAAGAGCTAAAGGACCTTTTCTACAGAACCCAGTTTCAAATGATCTAGATTAACCCTTGGCTGAGTAATTACTAATATTATCAAGCAGCTGGCAGGTAGCTTTTCCAAAGACGACAGAAGCATTGTTTCGATCTTGTCACAGTGAGGCTAATCCTTCAGTGCACAGCTGACAAGCCTGTCAGCATTTAGCCCTTGTGGTGTTTAACTCCGTGGCTATTTTCATCCAAGCGTACAAAACGGAGAAGCAACGGCGTGACTAGATACCACTCATTCACGAGCTGCTGAGTCAAATACGTAAAGATAACCTTCATAATCGCGTTGGCGATGGTTTAAACGTGTTAAATGTTTCCCTTATCCCACCTCCTCTTTTCTTGTTCGTCTAGAGTTGGAGGAGGCTCAGAGGCCATGCCCGCCTTGCTGGTACAAATTTGCAGACATGTTCTTGAAGTGGGACTGCTGCGCGCCCTGGATCGTCTTTAAAAAGTGGATGCACTTTGTGGTCATGGACCCTTTCGTTGACCTGGCAATTACCATCTGCATCGTGCTCAACACCCTTTTCATGGCCATGGAGCATTACCCCATGACCCCGGAGTTTGACAGCATGCTCTCTGTGGGGAACCTGGTTAGTATTTTTACTACTTTTAACTAAAGTAGACAAATGTTCCAATTCTTTTGATATGATTCAGGAGCTTTGTCTTTTAGGTTTTCACCGGGATCTTCACAGCTGAGATGGTTTTCAAGCTTATTGCCATGGATCCTTATTACTACTTTCAAGTTGGCTGGAACATTTTTGACAGCATCATCGTCACGCTCAGCCTGGTGGAGCTGGGGCTGGCAAACGTCCAGGGTCTGTCAGTCCTGAGGTCCTTCCGTTTGGTAAAACATAATGCTTAAAATGTTGGTTTTTAAGTGGGGTTGTGTGTTATGAGTAGTCAGTATCTTACCTGCAGCAGATTACAACCTAAATTAGGAAGGAAATGTTATGTTGGAATTATCAGCTGTTCAAAACAGAACTCATTCAAGAGTGTTTTTTTTATTTCTACCACAAGTAAGATACTGACAACTCGTGCTGCTTCACTCAACCCTATTTAAAGAAAAAAATCCTATTAATAAATACTGTTTTTATGTTTTTTTTTTCATGTTTCTGATGGAATTAGCTTCGTGTCTTCAAACTGGCCAAGTCATGGCCCACGCTCAACATGCTGATCAAAATCATCGGTAACTCGGTGGGCGCTTTAGGAAACCTGACTCTGGTGCTGGCCATCATTGTCTTCATTTTCGCCGTCGTGGGCATGCAGCTCTTTGGGAAGAGCTACAAGGACTGCGTGTGCAAGATCTCCGAAGACTGCGAGCTGCCCCGCTGGCACATGAACGACTTCTTCCACTCCTTCCTCATCGTGTTCCGCATCCTGTGCGGCGAGTGGATCGAGACCATGTGGGACTGCATGGAGGTGGCTGGTCCCGCCATGTGTTTAATTGTCTTCATGATGGTCATGGTCATTGGGAATCTAGTGGTGAGTCCAGCAGTTGGTAATATGTTACTGTTTACTCTTTGAAGTCTGAAATGTGCAGACATTTCAAAGCAAAAATTCAGAGACGATTGGTGGTCAGCGTTGGGTCAGTTTGAGTGTAAGATTAACTCGAGTGCACATCTGACATGGGGCACAAAGTGTAAAATAAAGTGTTCAAAAATGTCACTGACACATTTTCATTATTTACAGTAGCTTTGAGTGTAAAATCCTAGTTTACACTTTTCTAACAGTAAAAGCTAAATCTTAAATGTTGCAGCTTACATTTCAGAATTTTGGAATGGAACTCAACCTTGGTGCTCTTTTGTTGTGACATCATCATCCTGAGACAAAAGCAAGTGCTTACACTGCTGAAGATGATGATAATAATAATAACAATAATAACAATAATAACAATAATAACAATAATAATAACAATAAGAACAATAAATTAAATTTTAATGTGCCTTTCATGTCACTCAAGGTCACCGAACATGATACAGAACAGAAAAAGAGAAACTATAAATAATAAAAGGCAGATATCAATAAAATTAAACACAATCTCACGGTAAGTTTGAAAATGTGAGTTTTGAGGTTGATTTAAATGCGGACAGAGAACGAGAATCACGGATGAGCTGTGGGAGAGAGTTTTACAGACGAGGGGCTGGATGGTACCTGTGGTCCAGCAGTTTGAAGTGCAGCTCAGACACCAGACGAAACTGCAAGTTTGATGGAATCGTTAGCAGCATTAGCAATAGCATTTGCTTTTGTCAAAGGATGATGGCATCAAAACAAAAGCTGCGCACCAACGGCAAAGGCTGCATTCCATTCTAAAGTTTTAAATGTAAATTTCAAGGGGTGGCATTATGCAAAATCTACTTTTCGAGCTCAATATCATGTTATTCCCTCATGAAGAACATACTCCGAGTGTTGCTTTGACTCATTCATGCATGTGTGAGAAATCCTTGAATCTCCTGTGGTAGCCATGTGGAGCTGCCTAGATGCTTGCTGATACAAAGCTCCACCTATTTCTAACAAAGCACTGCCCATTTGAACAAAACTCCGCCTTTTAACCCAAAGCTCCTCCCTGAAGCTCAGTCTGCAGCCAAGCTCCTGCCCCATAGAGCACCCCCTCCCAATTGTTGTGAAGATGTGCTGAAGTGGGAATGTGGGAAACAGCAGGAGATTCTTAAAGTGATAGAGACTCATTTCAAGGCATTTAGATAGACTATGATGCAAAGTCATATTTATTTATATATATACAGCATTTTCATAATAACTGAAGGTAGTTACCTGATTGTGGTTTTTTATGGAAAATACGTAACACCCCCTTTAACATTTAGCCACATCCTTTACCTTTAACTTTTACGTGTAAATTTACCAATTGAATTTAACATTTAGACATAACATTTAAATTAAATATTTAGTAAAAAAATGGCAAAATGTATGAACAGTGAACTAAATAACAATAAAATGTTAGAGACTTTATTTAACATTTTACATTTGGCCCATCATAGTCCAAAGTCTAACATTTAAACAACTGTCTCTGCTGTGAAGCTGTTAATCTGACCAAGTGTTTTGTTWAATATCATAATGCAAAAGAAATTGTTAACCTTTCAGATGAGGTCTTCCAAAGACAGATACAGCTCCAATGCTGGTAATGACGGTATCAGTATATCATATGTTAATTGTTGCACAGTTTAAATACAGCAAATTAAATACAGATGCAAACATATTGTTTGGGTGGTTTTGTGTRAAAAGCAGACTTTGATGTTTGAGAAGATGTCCAATCTTGGCCTCGCAAGAAAAAAAATACATTGTCACATTCTTTGGCAAAGTTAAATGTTTGTTTCATGTCAGGCGCATTTAATGTTTGTTCCCTCTTGCAACAAAAAAGCCGTTGTAATTAAAATTGGCTGTAATCCTAAGAGTTTTATTTCAAAATTCCTCCAACACAGAGACATCGTTTCAGGATCATGTTCAATTACCAGAGCCAAAACAATTTCCTCTCAGGTTATTCATAGAAACAAAAAGGAAATGTCTGATCGTCAAGCATTGTCGGCCACGCGCTGCCAAAATTACTGTGGTTTCTTGCATTCTACAGTCTGGACTCTTACTACGCCTCACTTATAGATGCACACCGACATAAAGGCAACGATTATATTTAAAGGCATGAAGGGAAGGAGGGGTTCAGTTTAGATCAAATGACTCAAGCATTAAGCAGTGTTTGACCTTGACTATGTGCTAAGATCTTTCTCAAGTAGGCATGCTGCTGCTGAGGGAACAAACACAGACAGCTGAGCGAGCAGGTGGCAAAGAGTCCTCGCTGGGTGTAAAGTAAAAGTCATCTGATAGCAGGTTGAATGGACGTAATCATTTTGCCCATCTACTGTGTTGGAAGCAAAGTGAAAGCATGTTTGAGAACATATGCTGATCCAAGGGAAAATCATTTCTACAGTTTTTATTATATATTYAAAGACCCAAATTATGTGTATGTAAAATGCCAGATTTAACACGTTGCCTTCGTCATTCTTCCAACTCAGGTGTTGAACCTCTTCCTGGCCCTGCTGCTCAGCTCTTTCAGCGGGGACAACCTCTCCGGAGGGGAYGAGGACGGAGAGATGAACAATCTCCAGATCGCCATCGGCAGAATCACCCGAGGAATCGACTGGTTAAAAGCGTTCATCGTTCGAAGGGTTCAGCAGATCCTCGGCAGGAAGCCCAAAGGGCCCGACGAGGGTCCGGTGGACGACGACGACTCCAAAGCAGAGGCAATGGAGATGAACCACCTGGACACCTGTCAAGGWTTTAAAGTGGCCGATGGGTTAATGGATTGTCCGGTTGAAGGCCGGCCCTCTGGATTTATTGTGGATGGAGAGGTCCGTCTGAATGTGCCAATCGCTGAGGCAGAGTCCGATTTTGAAAATCTGAGTGAAGAAGATGAGGACGATGAAGAGGATGAACACAACTCAGGGATGGAACATGAGAAAGATACTCAACTAAATACAGTAATTAAAAACCAATAACATTATATGTCTGTCTGTCTGTAGCTTTAGCTGCCTTTTTTTGGATATGCTAGCTGTTTGTCTGTGTAAATAGTTATCTCCCTGTCTCACAGTCTGTATAAGAAGAGGTCTTGTCTTGTTATTTTTTAGAAATCTAAGTAAAAACT